TTGGTTAGCCGTTTCTGCCACGGGACGGGCATCCTGAGATAACTAGGAATTACACAAGCTTCAGTCTGGATCCAACCCTTACAAAGATCTGAAGATTAAGAGATGATGCCAACCCTGAACCAACATGCAAAATATTTCTGTAAGTTTGATTGCAACATATAATCATTGCTGTTAATGGTGTTCACCGTTTGTTTGAATTCATGTCATTAACTGCTTGATTTTTACTGTACATTTCTGCTATATGGACATCACCCTTTACATAGTCACCACTGAGAAGCTAAGCCTAAATATAATGTAGAAACTTGAATTTTCTGTGAATCTGCTTTGCAACGATTTGTATCGTGAAAAGCGCTATACAAATAAACGTGAATTGAATTAGCATGGTACATTTTTGAAAGACTTTTCAGAATGACGTTGCAATACTACACTATTAAAGATCATGCGGTGAAGAAAGTATAAAGGAAATCCTTTATTAAAATTAGTATCAGCTAAACAAATGTTTTAATGCAAACAGTGACTTAGAAGAGATCATGTAAGGCAGGAGACGGTAGCGTGAGTGATCATATCACAGCTTAGACTTCATCATGGCCATCATCTTCTCCAGTTTGATGGCAAGGCCCATGTCACCCTTAATCTTCAGCTTTCCAGACATGAACGCCATCGTGGGCTTTAATCTCCCTATTGATAAAGAACATGGTTTTCATCAGTGCTTCAGTTTTTTATTATTCAGATTCAAACCATCCTCTATGATCCAATTATGTCAGTAGTGTGTGAAGTGCATCAGTGAAACTTTTTCTACCTCCGAACATCTTGATGAAATCGGCACTGTCCAGCGTCATGACGACGTCAGCTTTGGCAGGCGGATCCCCACTGCCAGCACTCCCTGCATCATTCTTCAGATCAATGTACCAGACTCCAGCATGTTCACCTGTCAATCATGCCAGCAAACGCTAATACAACACAGATTTGGTGGGTGAGGCATATGCAGCTCGTCTCTTTTTCAGTCAGGGGTCTCCAGTCCTGCTCCTGGAGAGCTACTGTCCTGCAGATTTCAGCTCCAAACCCAATCAAACACACTGGAACCAGTTAATCAAGATGTTCAGGGTTACTTGATAATTACAGGCAGGTGAGGTGGAGCACGGCTGGAACTAAAGTCTGCAGGACGGTAACGGTAGTTAAAGACACAGCCGTGAATCATGATTTGATATTGCTAGTCAGAAGTAGGTGATATTAGGAGGTGGGACATAATTCTATAAAACCTTTAATTGCACAAATTTGAGATAAACCTGCAAGTCCAAGATGATGTTTTCAATGTTTTTGGTCCATTTTCCCGGAAATGAAATGCTATACATTCTAATGTATATTTACAGTTACATATCCCTATTAAATCACACTTAAATAAAAACATCATGACATTAAAAAGTCAAAAGTCTGACATACTAAGTCATATTTATGAAATTAAAAGACAAAAGTATTACACACAAAGTCATAATAATGAGATAAAAAGTCTTAATTATGACTTGCCACAGGGCTGGGCAACTTTTATCCTGGAGGGCCACTGTCCTGCTGAGTTCAGCTCAAACTAGGCCTGGGCGATAAAACGGTATCGATATTTATCGCCGGTACACCTTCTTCGATATCAATAGAAAAAATGTTCGATATAGCGCATGATATAGGCACATACTATGAGTGACGCAGACAGCACACACAAACACAAACACATGCTGAAATGAGTGCTGTGCCTGCCTGTGATGAGGAGATTGTGAATAAAGAATGAATATTAGTCGAATTTAAAATAAACATTTGCATTTGAATGTTAGGTGTGCATCAGGGAGCGTCATCAGTGGCGTTTTTATTGTGTGTTTGATTGTTAAAACAAAAAATATATTTGTTGTTTGTCTCAATAAATTGTGTTAATTATAAATACAGTGGTTACGTTTAAAAAAAAATAATTCTATTGCTTTTTGTTTTAAAAAAGGTTATAAAAATGTCAATAATTATCGATACTGAATGATATGAAACATTATATCGTCGATACATTTTTTTAGCTATATCGCCCAGCCCTAGCTCAAACCCTAATCAAACACACCTGCCTTTAGCTTTCTAGTGATCTTGAATAAAGCCACTAGAAGGCAAGCCTGCAACCTTTAGCCAAAAAAGCGTCACGGCTAATAATACAGTATGTGGGAAAGGAGACCAGAGGCCGTTTTTTTTTTTAGTGGATGTCAATGGAGGAGAGGCTTCACTACGCTGAATAAACAGCTTTTTAGAGGAAACAGCTCATCATTTAATGAATCGACAGCCTATCTGCTACTCTTCAACATGTCAAGTCAAGTGGCTTGTAAATTGGCAATGACTTTCCCATAATTTTGACTCATGATTTTTGCTGTCATAATAAGTCAGGAAAAACTCATAATTTAGATATGTCTTCCCATAATTATGACAATATCTCAATTTTTACTTTACATCACAATTTGGATTTTTTTTGTGTGTCATAATTCAGATTTATGTCACAATGACTTTTTGTCATAATCATGAGATTAAAAGTCATAAGCTTGTAATTTTTCATCTCAAAATTCACTTCACAATATGACCTTGTGAGTTTTTGTGATTCAGATTTGTCATAATTATGATTTACCAAAGCGTGTTTTGGCATAAACGGGCTTCCATACCCTATTGTTTATTATTCACAGTGTTTTAGCTAGCAGACACTGACTGAAAGCCATGAAACTTTAACTCAAATGTTTTAAATATGATATCATAACTACCTGACAAATCGAATCTGTACACTGCTCCTGTGGTTTTCACTATATCTGGACTGAGAATTCCTCTGATTATGTTGAACATGTCAGAAATCGGTCCCGTGGCGGCAGAATCTGCTTTTCCACTTTTGAAAGCTGGAGTGGCACCTGAAGAGAGAGAGTCAATCAATAAGAAGAACAAAATTGGATGAAATGTGCTGGTTATGCCTCATAACTCGCCATGCTCCTCCATTTGCTTGGCCAGATCCTCTGGCTGTTGATCCAAGAAAAAGTCAGGAAGCAACGGATGACCTAAAAAAAAATTAAGACATGTTTTATGTGCTGTGTCGGCATTCATAGTTTCCTGTAATATGTCAGAAATGTCATGTTATTGTATACAGGGTCTAACAATACTTAGAAGTGCTGTGAAATGGCCTAACTTTTATACAAATCACATTACTGATATTCATAATGATTGAATAGGAAAATGCATTACTTACTTTACCACATTAACATGAAATATTAATATTGCATAACCAACCTGGCTCAACAGCATACACATCAAATTCCTTAATGCCCTCCTTTTTGAGAATGTCCTCATCAATGACAAACTGTCCCGTGAAGCTGGTGGGTTTTTTCAAGATGGCGTAGGCTGCATCAGCCATGATCTCCACCTTCCTGCACTGTTTACCAATCCCAGAACCACCCAACATGTCCATGGCTGCCGTCTGGATGGCTGAGGGTAGATGATGCAACAAGAGTAATTCAGTTATCATTGTTGAGTTTGATTAATATTCAATTCCACTTCGTTTTCACAGCATGTTTCACAATACATACTGTTCTAAAGCTCTGAATATCAATAAAAGGTTCAGCATACAAATCTGAATGGTACGTCAGACTTTACAGAACATCCTTTCAGTTTCCTGTTGTTTATTTGCATACAGTGCCACAAATATTTAAATTTATGCATTTGGCAGACGCTTTTATCCAAAGTGAAATTTGCATTCAAGGTATATACAGTGGTGTGAAAAAGTGTTGGCCCCCTTCCTGATTTCTTCTTTTTTTGCATGTTTGTCACACTT